CAAACAGCCCATGTTTTTTTCATTCACCATGCCCATTCTGCCCAAGATGCTAAAAAAAAATCATTCTGTCAAAGATAGTAAGTAGAAGTTAGAACAGAAAAGAGGGTTTGCACTAGCAGGCAGTTGAGTACATATAGGAAACCCTAATTTGGGCTATACTCGCTATAGAGTACCCACTGCAGGCTAGACAAATATCACATTCTGACACACCCCCATAGTCAAAGTGGGGTATAATCAGCATAGCAAGTAGTCATAGAGCAGGTTCACAAGTACAAGCAAAGCTAGAGGCATTCACAAAGGGCAAGTGAGGAGGAGGAGGCGGGACTGTGAGAGGAGAGGAGATAGGAGGCGACGGCTGAAGCTGCAGACACACGGGCAACAGGAGCGGCTGGCACAGCAGCTATCGGAGCAGCGCCCCGGACTACTGGAGTAACTGGCTCCGCGGCTAAGACGAGCGGCAGGAGCAACGGACCCACAGGCGATTGGCGCAGCAGGCTCGCTGGGCTACCGGAGCAGAGCCCCGGACTACTGGCGCTGCTGACGACACGACGGCTGCCTCCGCTCAACCTCCCCCAACTGTCCCACCCCCCTTTCACACACCCCCTGCTGCACCCCTAGCTCCAATCCTGTGTCACCCCCCTAGCGCGACTCCCTTGGCTCCCACACACCTACCCCCCTCAGCGGCAGCTGCAGCAGTGGGAGAGAGAGGAGGAGGAGGAGCAAGGGATGACGCACACCCGCCACCCCCACACCCGCCACCCCCATACCCTCCTCCACGGCTGCACGCGCAGCAGAGAAACGACGAGGAAGGAGGGGGGGGGGGGGGGGAAGAAGCCGCCCCGAAGCTGCACGAGGGCAAGGGGCGGCGCGCGGGTCCACAGGGCAGCGCGCGCGGGTCCACGGGGCAGCGCGTGCGGGTCCCCTGGGGCGACGCGCGGCTCGACGGGGCAGCGCGCGCGGGTCCCCTGGGGCGACGCGCGGGTCGACGGGGGCAGCGCGCGGGTCCCACGGGGCGGCGCGCTGGGCGACGGGGCAGCGCGCGGGTCCCGCAGGGCGTGGCGCGGGTCCAGCGGGGGGGGGCGCGCGGGTCCCACGGGGCGACGCGTCGGGCAGAAAACCGCCGCGCGCCCCGAGCACGCGGCGGGAAGAAAAAACGCCGCGAGCCCCGAGCGCGCGGCAGGCAGAAAACGTCGCACGCCCGGGGCGCGCGATAGGCAGGACAGCAGCGGAAGCATTAGGTGGGCCCATCCACAGGATCGACTAGGGAGGGTCGACCTGCTCTGATAGCATGCCAAAGATAGCAAGTTGAAGTTAGAACAGAAAAGATGGTTTGCACTAGTAGGCAGTTGAGCACATATAGGAAACCCTAATTTGGGCTATAGTCGCTATAGAGTACCCCACTGCAGGCTAGACAAATATCACATTCTAAACCTTTGGGTTCACCTTTGCCTCTCGCTTGGTATATTTCTGTGGTGAGTTTACTCATCGCCAAATGTCTCAATAACGGGCGTCGAGACCTGGCCGTTATCGCTTGTGCGCCCGAGCGGTGCCTCCAGTTTGCCCGTGAGACTTCGAAGTAAGGTCCGAGCACACCGGTTGTGATGTGTTTTCTAACCCATGGGCGCACAGCAAATGCTGCCAGGTTCGGTACACAATAACGAATAGGGAGGCTCGACGTGGGCTTTAAGTTTTTTTGGCGCGTTCCAAGAATATTCGTCTTTAGGGCTCCGCACCCCTAATGCGCCCACAGAACGATATAAAGGCCGAGATTTCGTTGGGCTAGGGTTGGCCAGTGGTTTTGCGTCGCAAGTTATCCTGTCCAATTCCCTTTGTTAATCTCTAGAATTACAATACAATTGTTTTTCTTACTACAACACCAAGTATAAATTTGCAGCTGCATCTTCCCAACTGTCTGGTAGCGTGGATGAGGTCCATAAGACAACACTACTACAATCCACCTACTGAGCTTACTTGACCAAGAATATATGCAACTACAGGAATTAGCCCCTCTGTATCCGTTTCACCTTCCATTCCGCCAACACTAGCTCCATGCACACTGCCAAGAGGAGCATGTGTTGTTGGCGGCACATCCACATGCGCTGCCCTCAATGCATTCTCCTCATTCTCCGTCTTCTCATAAACCCCAGAACCACTCAGTACCGTAAGGTCTGCATTAAAGGCACCTTCGCCGCCCGCCGCTGCGCGTTTCTCTGTGAGCCAGGCTGTCAGGTCGCGAACAGTGTCGATGTCCCTCAGGCGTGGCAGCGAATCCAGAGGCGCCACGTCAGCCACCCCGTTGGTGTGGAGTGCTGAGAGTGACTGCTGCAGCACCCTGTCCGTGCTCCACTCTATGCCCTGATGGGGCCCGGGGAAGGGAGAGAGGGGCAGGTTGCAGGCAGGCCAGTGACTATTTGGCTGACAGGAACTGTGTGGGAGTGGACTGCAGTGACTGCTGCAGAACCCGGTCCGTGCTCCACTCTATGCCCTGATGGGGCCCGGGAAATGAGAGACAGGGGAGATGGGAGAGCGGGGAGGAGCCAGGATGTGAGGTCGTGTACTGTGTTGATGCTCCAGAGGCGAGAGGGAGGCAGGTTAGTGGGGCCATGTCAGCCACTCCGTTGGTGTGGAGTGCTGAGAGTGACTGCTGCAACACCCTATCCGTGCTCCACTCTATTCCCTGATGGGGTATGGTGGTGTGAGAAAAAGAGGGGGGGTGGGAGGATGGTGGGAGGAAGGAAAAGTGGCGGGGAGAGATTGGAGAGGGGGAGCAGGGTGAAGAACAAGGGAAGAGAGTGAGTGACAACTCCAGCACCTTAATTCTCGAGAATAACATGACACAAGCATCCTGACCGTGCCGCACTCTTATGCCCTGGTGGTGCCTGGGGGATGAAAGCAAAAGGGTACGAGGGAGGATGGCAGGAGGAAGAGTGGTGAGGAGAGTTGGAGTGGGGAAGGAGGGGGAAGAACGAGAGAATGTGATCGAGAGGGATGCAGATGAGAGATCGGATACTGACACGCAAATGCATGCATATGGAATGAGCACATGTTGCATTTACACCCATGGAATGCCACACCTCACATGCCGACATGCCCCGCATATATGGTGACATGCCCCATATACATGGTGACATGCCCCATATACATGGTGACATGCCCCATATACATGGATCAGGCAAGGCAGCAGTGTGGTGAGCCCACGGAGGCAGTACCCACCATCCAGGCACATGCACATAAACCCTCTTGGTCGTGTTCCCCCCCTCCACACACACATGGGACGAGATGAGCACACTACATGTGATGGCATGCGTCTCTCACATACATGGAAGAGGCACGGCAGCACTGCAGTGAGCCCAAGGAGGTAGTATCCGCCATCCAGGGCTGGGCCAAACACCACCTGCCAGGGAACCCAAAAGGCGCAATGAAACGCAAGAGTGATGAATAAAAGGATCATCAAACACGCGCCTCTGTATTCCTTTCCTGCAAACCCATTTCTTCCATCTGCCACACACCCCACTTCCAGCGCTGCATATTTGCTACCCCCCTGTCCTCCACTCACCGGGTGGTGCCTGAGCGGCAAAAGAGCAGCAGCCATATTGGCACCATCCACAGCAGGGATGTGTGATCCAGTCACCACCTTACTTCAGATAGTGTGCAAACAATTCCCCCACACCTCCTCTCACCCACTGATACCCTTCCACTCCTCTCCTCCGCTTACCCGGTGGTGTCTAAGAGCAGAGAGCGCAGCAGCCATTCTGGAATGCAAACTTTTGAGACGTCTCAAAAGTCAGCAGCCATTCTGAAATGGAGCCATCCACATGTCAGAGATGTTTATTCCGATCACCAACTTACCTCTGCAGGCCAAATAGTGCCCACGCAATGCCCCCGAGACTCACCCACCAGTGCCCTCCCTCCCCTCTCCTCCTCTCACCCGGTGGTGCCTGAGAGCAGAGAGCGCAGCAGCCACAGTGGCACCGTCGACATCAGGGATGTCTGTTCCGATCACCACCACCTGTCACGAGCATGGGGGCGGTGAGATAAGCGGAGCACAGTGGAGCGAAGAGAGAGTGAGCAGCAGCAACAGTGGCACCATCGACGTCAGGGATGTCTGTTCCGTTCACCACCACCTGCCATGGCGGAATGGCGGAGAGGTAAGAGGCACGCAATGGGGAAGAGAGGCCAATGGAGAGCAGAGGGAGCAGCAGCATCAGTGTTTTGCTTACAGCCAACTGCCATAGCGGGGTGATGATTTTCTAGTCGACTGGGAGAAAGACAGCCTCTTGCCAAAGGGTTTAGGGTTTCGGGTAGGTGGATAGGTGGGGAATGAAAAGCAAGGAACACCAGCAAGGATCTGATCAAAAACCGAGTGGGCACCAGTTAGGTGCCATGACTACATATGGCAGCGACATTCGGTTAGGTGAATGACGAGGGTGCTTTCCTGTTAACCCTTGCATAAAGAGTGGAAAACAGGGAGAACCGATGGAAAAAAGATTTCAGAGTGCAAGCAGACTGATCACTGCTGTGTGCCTGACAGAATCCCAACGCTCACCCTGAGCGGTAACCAATCCACATAATCCCCAAGGCTCACCCTATGTTAACCTTGACGTGCTCCCATTCTCACCCGTTGGTACCCCAGGCCCAGCACGTGCTGGAAGGCTGCTTGCATGCGCGCCCCCACGTCTCCCTCTACCTGCATGGGGTTAACGTTTTGGGTTGAGGCTCCAGGGTTTCGGGTTTAAGTGTTTTATTTAGGGTGGTGGAAGGCTGCTTGCATAAGCAGCCCCATGTTCCCCACGTCAACCCCCACATCTTCCCCCCGCGTCTCCCCCACCCACTATGGCATATGAGTGGCAGGCGCCTGTTGCATGTAGCAATGTTGGCAGATGCGCATGGGGGGAAATTGCAGAGCTGAGGTAAGGTAGAGTCTAGAGGTTTCACCTGAGACACAAAGCGGAGGGAGGTGGAGGAAGGCAGCAGCTGCTGCATCCACCGTCGGATCTCGCCTTCATCCGACGGCTCAGAGAAGAAGATGAAGACGTGCGTGGATGCGTGCCTGCCTGCCACACCACAGCCATTCTTGAGAATCATCAGAAAGAAAGAAAGAAAAAAAGATACCGCTGGAATTGAGCAGCCATTGTTAGTGAAACCATTGTTGGAATCAAGAATCCACCAGCGCCAGAGCATAGGGTGAAAGGCCACGTCAAGCTATAAAAGCTCCTGTGGCCGGAAGAACCTCCACCTCGCTACAAGAGCAATCGTAACCAGGAACCCCCGGCGCCTCGCTATAGTCACGCACAGGTCGGGGCAGAGCCCGAACCTGGTGCCGACGTGTTCGCAGCACGCGCGATAGAAGATGACTTTGAATCGACTTGTCACCTCGTTATAGTCACGTACAGGTCGGGGTTGCGCGTGACCCTGGTGACGACGTGTTCGCAGCACGCGCGATAAAAGTCGCACGCCGCGTCCGCCCCCACGCCGGCCGCTAGGCGGGTCTTTACTCGCCCCGGCGTTGGCCGCTTCACGAAAATCATCACCGCCTGCTGCGCGCCGAGCGGCTCCGATGTTTCACTCCGCGCCTCTTCCGCTTCGCTCGCACTCAGTTTAGGGTCGCTCATTCTAGCGTCGCACACTCCAGAGTCGCTCAGTCGCTCAGGCTCGCTCTAGGAGAATCAGGAGGCGGCGGTGTCTTAGGCCTAAAACGGCGATAGCGATTTTCTGGCTGCGGATGCTGCAGTCACGCTGTACAGATAGGCGATTGTTGCGAGAAGGATCGACAGACGGAGAGCTCAGCTGAGCTGACGTGTCGAATGGATACGAACGCACGGGCGCCTTGTGATTTGGCGGCAAGTTTGAACAGATTGCCTGGTCAACGGCCCTGGAGGAGAAGGTTGACCAGCTTGGAGGGGAAAGGAAGGAAGAGGCGAAAGGATTGTTTGAGTGCAGTTCAGTGAGATGCTTTATATTCTACAGCTGTCAAACTTGATAATCAAACAAGTATTCTGTTGGAAAAGTATGTGCCAGCTACTATGTTAATGGAATTCTGATTTAATCACAACTTTACACAAACAGTGTGACTAGAGAGAGCATTCGGTCCTGTGGCCAATCTCGCCATGTTCTCGAAAGCAGCTCGTTCGCGAATGCGCCTCAAGATTTTTCCTAGTCTCAAGATCTAGGAGCTCCAAACATAGGTACCGTATTTACCCGGCTAATGGACCCCTCAAAATTATAGCCCCCCGGGTCGTTAAAAAGGGGGCGGGTCTAATGCTATCTCCACTTTCGTATTAGACCCCCCTTTTTGTAATGCATTCAAGATTAGCCCCCCCCTAGTGCAGAAAGCTCAAATTCCACGAAACTGTAGTGAGACACATCATATTAGGGTAGCGAAATTTACTGGTCTGATTGGATTACTGACCACGTGCATGTTGTTGGAATTAAGGTTAATTTGGGTTGCTCCAATAAACATATGTAGTGATACATCTACACTATAGTAGTGTAGAATATATTGGTTGGATTGGGAGAACTTGAGGTGTACACTCTATAGAGTGGACCACCTCCCAAACCCTATAGGTTAGGGTTCTCTCTTGTTGGAACTTCACTTCTTGAGTGACTCCTATTCCAACAGATTGCTAGGGACTGACAGCAGACGCGTGTGCATCTCAGGCACAAGGTGGACCTTTTGAATCCTCAGCAGCTGACCTCCAGCACCAACCACTGGCACCTCACCCATGCCAACAGCTTTCACCACCCGTCCATCTCCCAATCTAACTCCCCGAACCTCTGGTGGCTGAAGCTTACTTTTGAAGTCCGATGCATAAGGAGTAAAGTTGTGGCTGGCCCCACTGTCAATCCACCACCCCTCTCGCGGCTGCTCCTCTCCCACTGCTTCAACTGCCTCTCCAACTACTGCCTCTGCCTTGTCATCCTGCTCCTCCTCATCCGCCACCTGTGCCTTGCCGTTGGACCCACGACCCCCCCTCTGTAAGAATGCCGGAATTCCTCCTTTACGTCGGTGAGGAGATCGCTGCCATGCATGTCCCTCATCCCAACAGCCATGACACAACCCTTTAGGAGCCATGCCCTTGGACCCCCAAGGGAAATCAAGCACTCCTGCTTTGCCTTTCCCCTGACCCCATCTGCCCGAGTTGGTGCCGCTGCTGCTACCGCTGCCTCCTTGCTTTCCTCCCTTGTCCCAGTTTCCCCTGCCGCTGCTGCCCACTTTCGTACCCGCTCCAAAAGTGGCTACACCATCCGATCTTGGTGCGACACCAATCCGCATCTCCTCGCTCCTCAAAGAGGTAAGCAGCTGATCCTTAGTGAGCGATGATGATTGGTTGTTCAGTACCACATTCAGCATCTCAAAGTGAGGAGGTAGTCCTTTGAGTACCATCATCATCCACTCCTCAACCTCCTCCTTTCCTCCTGCAGCCAAGTACTTGGACCTCAAGTCCTCGGCACGCGCCCAGTATGCAGCCACCCCCTCCCCCTCTTTCATCTTCAATGAAGAGAGCTCCTCAGAGAGTGCCATCCGGTTACACAATCCACGCTGAAGGTAGAACTCCTTCACTTGTATGTATGCCGCTACTGTGCCTGCAGGAATTCGGGTGACCGCTCTTGCTCCGCCATCAACAAGTGCGCTGCCCAACTCGGTCTTGCCGCCGAACTCCCGTACCAAGCGAATTAGCTCATCTGGCACCAAGGCATTGCAGAATTGAGCGAATGCCTTCTGATTTTTCCTCTCCCACTTCAGCCGTGCGTCACCCGATGCAGGCCGCTCCTCCGAACCATCAAAGTACCCCCATAGATCGTGCGCCTCTGCCCATTGTTCGAATCGGAAGCTCCAAGTCCAATAGTCGCTCCCGTCGAACTTTGGCGCACTCTCCAGCTTCCCTTCGCCTGAGTCATGATCCATTTGCGGCAGACACACTGGAGATTGACGTTGAGGTGGTGGTGGAGGCAACGGCGGCGGCGGTGGAGACGATGTGGACAGATTTGCCCCCTCTTGATTTTTGGAGCGTAACTCCGCGCTCGAACCTCCAAATGATGAGCCGTTTGACTCAGACGAATCCTCGCTCTGAGACCATTCCATTGGTGTATCGCGCTACTGGATCCCGCGTCTGAGCTGTCCGCTTAAACTCGTCGAAGTTGGCCGATTTTCCGTCGACGAAGACTCGACCGTTTCTCCCGATTTTTGGCTTGCTGGATGCGCCCTGACCTCCTCTCTTGGCGTCCGCTCTCGAATCCCTTTTCCGCGCTTTAAATCATCCCCGATTCGCGATTTTCCAATTCGTCCACCGACTGTATTTCGCGAATTGCGTCCGATCCGCTCGTCGATTTGCGACGACTCTAGGGAAACAGTTGTAGATCGTGTCGAGGGCTTTCCAACGATATGCTGCACGCCTTGATCGGCCAACGTTGACTGAGCTTGTCCGTGAATGGATGTCGCTCCTCTCGTCCTCCCAAACGGATCCACACGATTTCCAGCGGGTTTCTTCTCTCCGCCTCCCCTCCCACGTCCAGAGTCCGCCACGATGCAATTTCGGCAGCCCTTCGGGAGGGATGGAAGCTATTTAGCCTCCACCAAGGTATTATGGTCCAATTCATTGAATAACTCCTATTCCAACAGATCGCTAGGCCTTCCTAGCTCTGATACCATATTAGAATGGACTAAGCTACTAGCGGAAGCTTTAGTAGTCTTAGAACCTCCTCCTAAAGCCTAGGAATCTTAGGAGCCCACTTGGGCATGAACCATGCTAGAACCAAAGTGGTTTCCAAGAAGTGAAGTTCCAACAAGAGAGAACCCTAACCTATAGAGTTTGGGAGGTGGTCCACTCTATAGAGTGTACACCACAAGTTCTTCCAACCCAACCAATATATTCTACACTACTATAGTGTAGATGTATCACTACATATGTTTATTGGAGCAACCCGAATTAACCTTAATTCCAACAAGGCTAAGTTAGGGGCATCAAAACAAGCAAAGCATCCAAATGGTCACAAGACCAGTCAAGCGAAACAACAACACAAAGCTCAGGGTGAATCACGAAGTCACCACACAGTCTGACCACAAGAAAACGGCCACAAGGCCAGTGCAAGAGTACACAAGTATATATATAAGCAAGCACAAGCTGAGTCAACAATGCCTAACTGCAGACAGAACCTGTGGTGGTCACCAGGCGGAAGAGCCTTGGCGAAGATGTCTATGTTGGCCTTTGAGGCCACGAAGTCCAAGCGTGCCTGGCCGCGTCGCTGCAACTCTCGCAGGAGAAAGTACCTGACGTCGATGTGCTTCACTCTGCTCTCCAGTCGAGGCTCTCAACACAGGAGGATCATGGCCTTGTTGTCAGCAAACAAGGTCGGTGCAGAGAAAGGCCGCTCACCAATGTCGGTGAGCAAGAAAGTCAACCAACAAAGCTCCTTCGCAGCCATGGCACCGGCGTAGATCTCTGCCTCTACAATAGACGAAGCCACAGACGACGACAGTGTGGACCTCCATGACACAGCTCCAGCGCCCAAGCTGAAGCAGTACCCCTGAGTGGACCGCTGAGTCTCCACGTCGTCAGCGTAGGAAGAGTCGCAGTGACCGGTCAAAACAACTGGCTGTCTCCCTCCAAGCACAAGCCCCATGCCTGATGTAGTCGCCAGGTACTTCACCACCCTCACAGTAGATGTCCAGTGAATAGGACGGTGTCTCCCAGTCGCAACAAAGCGAGAGAGGACGCTGAGAGGAAATGCGAGGTCCGGACGAGTACAGGTCATCAGGTATATGAGGCAGCCCACAAGCTCTGCGTAGGAACCACTAGACTCAAAGGGCTCGTCGGGAAAAGGGCCGGTGAGTCTGTAGTCAACGGCACGAGGAGTGGGCTGTGTGGTGGAGTGCTGAAGCCCGAACCGCTGAAGGACCTGCTGCACTATGTGTGACTGTGAGAGTGTAATGGTGCGAGCGGCTCTGTCCCTCGTGATCTGCAAGCCAAGGTAGTGGCGCAGCTCACCAAGGTCAGTGCACGTGTGTCTCTTCTGCAGTTCGGACTTCACATCAGCCAGAGCTGCCTTGTCTGCTATAGCAAAGACCAAGTCGTCGACGTAGACGAGGACGATGAAATGTGTGGGCCCAGAACGAACGAACAGCGACGGGTCGGCGGAAGATGGGCGAAACCCGACGGCAGCAAGAGTGGTGCACAGTGTGTCGTTCCACTCACGGGGTGCCTGGCGGAGACCATAGACTGATCGCCTCAGGCTCCACTGGGTCCCAAGCAAGAAAGTGCCAGTGAATCCGGGAGGACGGCGCAGCCTGATCTTCTCGTGCAGGCTGCCTTGGAGAAAGGCGGTGGAGAATTCGAGGGAGTGTAGCTCGTAGTCTCTCTGTACTGCAACGTGGAGTAACACCCGAAGAGTAGTCATCTTCGGGGTCGGTGCGAAGGTATGGAAGAAGTCAACTTCTTCGCGGTGACTGAAGCCTCCAGCCACGTAGCGCGTCTTGAAGACAGACGGTGATCCCGGCGGCCGCTTCACCTTGAAGATCCACATGCCATCGACTACGTCCGCCCCAGACGGGGGAACTGCGCCGACGTAAGTGCCGGTGGATCTCCAAGACGCCATATCTGAGTCCATGGCTGCTATCCACTGAGAGGCCCACTGCCCTGACACTGCCTCACGGTACGTGCTAGGGGTCGGAATGTCAAGGGCGTCAGGGTCTCCCTCAGGGGCTAAGAGCATGGCACAGAGATGGGGAGAAGTGGCTGTCAAGAACTCCAGCTCAAACTGCCTGTCCTCTAGGACGTCACAGCAAAGGGCACACTCACCCCTGATGGACAGAGGACGGGCATGCGCCACTCTGGTGGCGTAGTCAAGGCGGCGGGTGGCGGCAAAGTCAGTGACAGCAGCAGTAAGAGCCGAGACAGACGACGGAGAGGCACGAGGGTCCGTGACAAGAGAGGCGAGAACACGAGTGACAAGAAGACGGGTGGCACGACATTGTTCAGTGATAGGGGTAGAGGTGGAGGCTGTAAGAGACGACTCAGGAGGTGACGGGAGAATAGACTGAGGCGGAGAACGACGAGGACCCGAACGAGGAGAGACAGTGCGGAGGTCGTCAAAAGGAGACGAGGGACGTGCACGAGCGGGATAGCGAACTGTCCAGTCGTGCAGGACAACAGGAGGAGACGACTGTGACTGAGGAGGAGAGAAAACAGCAGGAGACGAGTCCGGAGGGGGAAACGTAGGACCGTAAACAGGAGGAGACAGTGAGCAGTCTAGAGGAGAGGAAGGAAGACCAAGGGCCCGAAGACCACTCACAGGAGGAGGCAACGGCTGCAAAGGCAGTGGCGGCTGCGGCTGCTGCTGCGGCTGCTGCCGCCGCTGCTGCTGCTCCCGCTGCTGCTACTGCTGCTCCTCCTGCTGCTGCCGCTCTTGCCCCAGCCGCTCCTGCTCCAACCGCTCCCGCTCCTCGCGCTCCAGCTGACGAAGCCTCTGGAAACTCGTTGGGTAGCGGTGGGGAGGTGGGGTAGGCGCCGCAGCAGCAGTGCCTCCAGCTCCAGTCTCCTCGGAACTAGCACCTCCAGCTCGAGCACCCACAGAACTAGTGTCCCCAGCACGAGCACCCCAGAACTAGCACCGCGAGTTCTTGCACCCTCAGCGCGAGTACCTCCAGAACTAGCACATCCAGCGCCAACACCCTCAGCCCCAACGCCCTCAGAACCAGCACCTCCAGCGCCAATACCCTCAGCTCCAGCACCCTTAGAACTAGCACCTCCAGTGCCTGTGCCCCCAGCACCAACACCCCCAGAGTCGACTGCAACCTGTCGCGGTAGTGCCGAAGGCTGCTGCTGTGACTGTGAGGACGACAGTGGGGAAGGAGACGGAACCTGACGTGCTACCGAGGGGAGAGGGGTAGCGTGCGACACACCAGACGGGGCGGGACCAGGGGAGGCGGGTGTACCGGAGGAGCGGGGGCAGGAGGAGAGGGGGCGAGGAAACGGGTAGGGGGGGGAACCGGGAGACCTCGACACGGGTACCGGGTGTAGTAAGACACAGACTCCTCAAACCGGACGTCACGAGAGTCAAAGAACCGGTGGAGGGGCGGGTGGTAAAAGGTGTAGTCAGAGGAGTCCACCGGGAAACCAAGGAAGACACAGGGGATGGCGCGAGCCGAGAGCTTGTCCGCAGAGGTGTCACGGACAAGTGCAATACAGCCCCAGACACGAAAACTTCGACGCAACACCAGGGGACCCGGTCCAAAGACTGGTCGGTGAAGCCTCTCGCCGTGAGACACGGGGCCAGAGGTTCAGCTGGTGGGCGGCGTAACGAACGGCGTAGGGCCACAGAATATGGGGCGCACAGGCCTATGCGATGCTCAGCAACCCCATTCTGCTGTGGGGACTCTGGAAGCGTCCAGGACTGGGTGATGCCCTGCTCGCGACAGAATCCGGCAAGAATGCCGGAGCGAAACTCACCCCCACGGTCGGAGTGAAGACAACTGACACGGTGGCCACGAGTGGTCTCAGTGGCCAGCAACCACCGGATCAGCGTAGAAGTCACAGCGGACTTCTTCGCCAGGGGGAACACGGTGGTGTAGCGGGAGTAGTCGTCAAAGACCACCAGAAAGCAGCTCTTCCTCTCGAGCCCAAGGCAAGGGGCGGGGCCCCAGACGTCCAAGTGGAGAGTCTGGAAGGGTGCGGTGGCGGGACGAAGGGAGGAGGAGTGAGGAGTGGCGCGCAGCCAACCCTCGACGCAAGGAGTGCACGGCGGCGCCGGCGAAGGAGGGAGCGGCGGCAAGACGCGTGGGAGACCTGAGACAAGGCGCTGGCTAGCCATGCTGCGGAGGCGTGGGAGGGACGGGTGGCCAAGATAGTGGTGCCACAAGATTGTTGGGTGGGAGAGTGACCGACAAGAGCACGACGCAACGACCGGAGC